AGCCTGTCCAGACACAGAAAGATGACACATAATAAACTGTCTCTCAAGAACCTCTAACCAAACAAAAAGAGTTTGAATGGGATGTGGCTGGAACCTGCCACTGTAGCCAGGATGTATTTCAGAACAAAGCTTTAAGGCAATGAATGTGTATTGCGTATAATCTTCCTAATCTCCGTAGTCCACAAAAGCTGGAGATACAAAAACTAAATCTATCTTGATCTTGATTAGAAGCTCAAAACCTAAGCTGATTAAAAGCTGTAATTTCCACCTGATAAATGACAAGTTAATGTGATTACTTCGTTTTATTCTCAAACAAAAGCAGTGACTTCTTGGTCAACCCAGATATAATTGGTCACTATTTGGTCACATATAGTTGGCATTTTGTTGCTATTGTGCTTAAATCTTAGTGTTGAGGCAGCTTTGGGAATGAAATTGTCTGCACTCTTGAGAATTTTTCCAGACTTAATTTTTCAGGAAAATTGAGCTCTATGTAGATTTGTAAGTCAGCACTGAGATGTCATTAATTCTTCATAACTATTTAATGGATTGCAAGACCTTCTTGCGTCAAAGAGGCAAAATAAAGAATTTATTCATTGTTTGATCACAAGTGATATCTTTTAAGCCCTAGCAGCCTTTGTTATTTCTTTCACTGGTGACTAATGTTCCTCAGTTCTATATCTTAAGGAGAGATATCATGGTATACACACTGGTATCTCCCACCCTCTACCCAGACATTTTTGAGTTCATGACCTACTTTTTTTGTATATTATTCCTGTGACTTTGAGAAGTCACTTTACCTATTGAAACTTAAGTTTTCATATCAACCTCACTCTGTCAAATAGATATCTCAGATAAACAACGGATTTCCCTTGACTCAATTCTTACAATTCTAATCATTCATTTTGTTCATTTCCTGACAACTCTTAGATATGTAACAGCTTCTTCAGAATATACTGAGAAGCCTTTGAGCATCTCTTCATTGTCTATTTGCACTCCATTGTCTTCTCTGTGTCTGCTCCATTAACAGAGTTGCTTAGGAGCAGACTTGTGGGCAAAACAAAAAGTCCTATCAGAGAACATAAAACTATCATTAACTAGCTTTGTTTTTACTGTTTACCACTCAAGGACATGTTTACTTTGATCTTCAACAATGAGATGTGTCTTAAATAGTAGATATGCAGGCACTGCTAAGTCTTAGTTCTTAGCAACAAAGAGACTGAGGGTATTTCATTAAATGCTGTTATCTGAAGACATAGCAATAATGAAATGTGCAGTAGCTATTTAAACCATTATCAAGTTTAATGATTAACCTGAAATTCATTTGATTACTCAAAAATATTAAGACCTTGATAAATATTTATCGTTTTTTATTGTTAAACCTAAAACATCCATTTGCTTGAGCAGAACTTCACATTTACTTGGGTAGATGGTACAAAGCAATGAGCCACCACTGATTATACTCCTAGAAGTACTCACTGCAAAGTACTGGTGAGTCAAGGTGATTTTGAGCATGCAATAATTTATATGTATTACAATATGACACTTAAAACAAAAATAGTTTTAAGAGTGAGGATGGGGGGATAGCTCAGACAGCAAAGTGCTTGCTGTGTTCAAATGCGGATTATTTACATAAAATTCAAAACTGGAAAGTAGAGACAGGGGATCCTTAAACCTTAGGTACAATAAGAGAAAGACTGTCTTAAAAAAAACTAAGGGACATCAGGGAAAGAATCCCGAAGTAGATAGGGAAAGCTCATGAGGTTTTAACTCTTCTTGCACAGAGAGCTATGGGTAACTAAGGAATACACAGAGCAGAAGAATTAGTCTTCTCTAGGAGGGAGCATACCAATAGATTTTCTCATATGAAATGGTCAGCCCTGAAAGAATGCATATGAGTAACATTATGCAATCTGAAAAGGTTACATTTAGAAATATATGTGCATATACAACTAGTAGTGGGAAATGAGAACAGGAATGTAAAAGGAACAAGGAGTATTTGAGAGGCTGTGGAGGGGGAGAAAAGGGAGAAATGACATAATTGTAATTTAAAAAAAAGAAAACATCTAAGTTGGAAAGAGATTGGAGACACTGATATTGACTCCTGAGCCCCACGTGAACCTGCACACACATGAGTGCATATAAACATATACATGCATGCCTCCACACACAAACATGCAGGTTCAAGAGTGAGACCTTGTAGTAGATCTCTCTTAAAAGCCTATGCATGATTACCAAATTTGATAGATAGGAATAGAGGGAAACTTAATGTGATTTTCTTTACATATGGCTTTCGTCTCTTTGTAGGACAAAAATAAAAAATATGAAGAGGAAAAGAAGGAAATTGCAAAGAAAATAAAATGGGAGAAATGTAAGAGGAAAGGAAGGAAGGAAGAGCTACTCTATAAATTGTTAGTTTTATCTTAAAACCCTTACTCAAAACATAGTTTTAGAGGTTGTGGATACAGCTTCATAATATGCACAGTCCACGGCTCCACAGGCCAGTCCATGGCTCAAGATTAGGCCTCCAGCATCTAGATCAAACTATTATTATTAATTCTGTACAGAACAATAGAACTCAGTCAAAATAACTCAATGTCTTCACATTATCTTTCTGGGTAACATGAGGCAGTCAGTCAGGCCAACAATTATCTGTACTTTCTCCTACTTCTTTATCTCTCCATTGTGCAAAATTTCATAGGAAACAAGCCAGCAAAGATTTAGTGCCCAACACCCACTGTATTAGTCTCAGAAGAAAAAGACCAGTTAAAAGTTCTTTCCGCTCTGGTGACAGGGGTTGGGACAAGTGCAATAAAAATTCTGAGGTGGGCAAACATTTAGAATTAAGTCAATATTATCCTTTTTCTCATCCAGGGAGAGGAAAAATGGGGATTCATGCATGAAAACTGTGGTCACATTATCACTACAATCACCTCTTCTGGAAGTCACTTCATTTTGGAAAGAAACAAACCCGAAACAAGGGAGTTTAAGGCTCTGGCAAGAGATGTCATTTCCTCATATTTTTGTTTTATTTGTTTGCTTGTTTGTTCATTCATTTGTACTATTGGCCCAATAAGTGCACTTCATTTTTAGGTACCTGGTTTCAAAAAGTCTTGATTCTCTGTAAAAACAGGAAAAGGGTCAATCCCCTCCCTGTGTGTGAAAATTCATGACTGAGACCTCTATATTAAAATATAGTAGCTTAGTAAATTAACAAGAAAAGTATAACAAGTGCATTAAATTATAGCTTTATATGACATGGTTACATTCGGATGGATGAGTCAAAGACTCAAGGTGGAGTCCAAGGTTTATGCTATCCATTTTATACTCTGTTGAGAAACTCATCAAGACCTAGATAGTCAGCTTCTTCTTTGTCTCTCAATAAAGCATATCTCCTTCAAAGTACGGAACAGGACACCTGAAAGAGAGTCTACTACCACACAGAGTATGCCAGAGGTCTTTATAGTGAGCTTCAAAACAGCAAGCACCTGCTTTTAAGTTTTATGGTTCGCTTTTTGGAAAGAGGCTGTATTTCTCAGACTCATCTCAAGAACAGAAAGTTCAGTTTCACACATTCAGGAGAGGATCAAAGTGGGATGCTGGGAAGGGGTGGGGAAACAGAAAGAGAAAAAAGGAGAGGGTCTCAACGTGTATTTCAGTCTGGCCTAGAACTCACTACATATTCCAAACTGCCAAACTGGTCTAGATCTAGCAGTCATCATGCCCCTAGCTCTCCAATACTGGGATCACAGGTCTGTGCCACCATAGCCTAGAGTGTTACTCTTAAGGCCTTTAGTTTCAGATAGGATTTTTTTATATCAACAGAGGAAAATCACAAAGGTAAGCTAAGAAATGCTCAACCAGCTGTAAACTATTGGTATTGACCAATAAACCACAATGCCCTTTGATAACAATTGTTGTATTGAGAGAATAATGGATAATGAGTAAGCCAGAGGTATTTGTGGACTAGGACCCTATGGTCAGCATACGCCTCACAACAAAAGAGTCAGTGGCAAAATCAAGTATCATTTCTTACTACTCTACATATGCCAATTCACCAAATACAGTGTCTCATTTTATAGACAGAAGTACTGAGACATAGAGAAGGTGAATGGTTCCTCTAAGGTCATGTGATTAAAAAATGATGCATTATTGGTAAGAATCAGAATGTTCTGTTTTACTGACTTTGTTTGTCTTGAATTTTTTAGTGGTCTGGGACTCTTCATCATTTTGTATGTTATGTTATATAGTGCATATGTTTATATGTGGGTTGTAAATATTGCTGTTGTGATTTTAACATTCACCAGGGCAAATGATAGAATATTGACCATTTGAGACACATTACTTATACAGTTCAGTGACATTATATATACTCATCCTGTTCAATGACCCATGACCACAAGTGTCTCTTCCACCCCAACTAAAACTTTGTACCTGTTAGACAACAACCCCCCCACCACTGTGCCCCTTCCTCCCCTAGCAGTCACTCATGAAAATTATTTTCTGGCACAAAGAAATCTTAAGTTTTAAGCTTAGCTTTCAGTGAAAAAAAATGTAACTATATGTGAAGGGCAGAGGATGCAAGAAGGAGAAAAACTTGTAACCAGCCCTTCAGTACCATGAACTCTATGAGGGTGCTGTAAAAATCTTTAAATGTCTCTCTACCTCTCAGCCTGCCTCCCCAATATTTGTTCCTGGAATTTTCTGTCCCCTGGTTTCCTCTGCTTCCAAGAGCAGCCAACAGAGCAAATTCCTTTGTAGTTTCAGAAGCAGGTTTGTTGCCATGGAACCCACAATGCCACTGGAGTGGACTAGTAAAAGGTAACCACTAAAGATCCAGCCAATAGATAGGCTGTGGTTCTTCTTCTAGAAAAGCCTGACTGGTAGGATTCCTTTAAAGGCTCAACCCCAAAGTGCTTTATGTCATCACTCCAGCTCCTTGAAAACTGAAGCTTCAGGAGATCTCTGAGAGAGAACCTGCTAGGCTGCAGAGCTTCCCACCAATGGCCAGTCTAAGGGGTAGTGTTGTTACTAATGGAACTCTCCACAATCCCAAGACTCAGCACAGCAAATGGCAAAGCACTGACTGTGTGAAAAATGGAATCGCCAAAGAAGCCCAGGTAAGAAGTGGTCTCCTACATCCTTAATCTGTATGACCCAAGTATTTCCATATTTCTTAGCAACACAGTTTAAGGCAATCTTTACTCCAAGTTTCTCTCATGAGATGTTTTATTGTGTTGGCTCTGCACTTCAGCTAATATTCTGTTACATGTGGCTGCTGCAAAGCTTAGATGTGGCTATCAGGGAATTTCTTCTCTAGATAAGAGAAGATGCATACAGAGTCACATTTTCTAAAATACAGACCTTATAAACTTTTCATTTATTCTCAAGCATTTCAGGGGACAAGTTTGTGAAAGATCAAACTCTTGGACCTACCATATAACTTGCTACACTCATGATGCTTAAGGAGAAAAAAAGAAGTGATCATAAATCTTGCAGAGATCATGTGGTCGATGACACTTGTCCCTGGTGCACATGAAATGCCTTTCTGGTTGAAAAGAACATTTTTGTGTTTAACAGAGCATTGCCATAGCCCACAGCCTGATTAGAGACTGGAGTCTCTGTTTGAAATTTGACCCCTCCGGTATTCCTTTCTAAAACTCACTTCAGGGGGTGTAGTTTAGGGTGTTCTGCACATGGAAAGCAAAGCAGCCTCTTTAAAACAGACTTTCTTTTTATTTCCATTTCATATTTCCCCTCCTTTTTGGCCTGTGCTATTGCAAAATATTTGAGGGGATGTCCCAGGGAAGAGAAAAATCGAGAAAGCATTCAAAGGAGTGTCTCAAATCTGTGAGGTTCTTGAAGGAAAGCAATTATGCATGTCACATAGCATGCCAGGACTCTCCAGTCTAAGTCACATGGTAAGCTAACCTGCCTTGAGGACAAGCTTGAATAGACAGGCAGTCTCACTGTAGGGAAATAGCAAAGCTTTGTGTAGAACCCCACATAAACTTCCCTTGTTCAGTCATCCTAGTGAGCCAGCCTTCGCCTGAGGGAAATGTTAGGTTGTGCCAAGCACCTAGAACAGAGAAGGTTGGCTGTGGTCAGGCCTCCGTGCGGTGAATCATTTGCATGTCCAGTTGGGAGGTACAAGGGGCACTCAGAAGTCTGGCTTGTATGGTAAAATGGTATGGTCCTCTAAATGTATCCATCTCTTACCAAAAGACATTGGAAAATGTCTACCAGAAATCTCAGGCTGGAACAGGAGGAAGAGAAAGGGCATAAGAGAACTCACAGCACTATACCTCATCCATTAAGATCATTGCTAAGATGCCCCTTGTCCTTGAAATACCTGTTTCACTAGCCACTGTTTGCCTCCTAGGTTACTCTGATTCTTAGGTATCTTATTTGACCACAGATGCCTTCAAAACAAGTTTTCCTTTTCTTTACTTATCTTGATTTCATAACTATATTCTAGTGTTTGACATTGAAAGAGTAAATAGATAGGACAGCCATTCCTATGTAAGGGTAGGACCCCACAGGTACTGTAATTATACAAGACCATAACATCCTTTGCCATGGAAACATCTTTAAGTGCACAGTGTCACTGCTGTGGCCTTTCCCTAGCAACTCTTTCTGCAAAGCCATCCAGATCCTGTCTGCTAAGATATATTTAGATGTTTCTAAGTTGTAATTGGATTCCACTAAGAGCCTCAGTTATGTATTAATAAATATTTTCCTGAAATAATAAACTCTGCTGAGCTCATAACAGACCTAATTTCTCCCTGTAAAGTATGAATAAAGTTGTCTTTACTATAGTGATCCTCAGGCAAAAGTTTTACCTAATGGGCCTCTTAATAAGATAGGCCTTGACTATTGGCAAAATGAATTGCTGAGAGCTTGTAGATGTCTGAGGTCAGTGATCTTTCAAATGGTTTGCTGGGACTTAGGTTTCATGGGACAGTGCCTCAAACCCTACCAACTCCAGTGAAGATCCCTTTAGCTTTCTTCTACTTCTTTGTACTCATACAATACAGTTACCACTCTCACATACTGGCTATTCTGTAATATTCTGTTGGCAAAAGATTTCCCAGCCCAGCAAGCAAAATGTAAACACCTTTATGCAGTAACTTTGGAATGTCATTTACTTTGTTCCAATGTAGATGCTAGTATGTGGGCTCAGTAGCCCAACCTTACAATTGACCAGGAGCCAGAATATTTCCATTTTGGAAATCATCCAGAGTTTCTTTCTGGAGCTTTTCTGATCCTTAATCCGTTTGCCTTCCTTTCCCCTTTAAGCTCCATATGCCCCCAGGATGAACTGAAACAAACGTGGTTTCACCACTGATGAAGTCTGTTCTTTGTTTACCTCTACAATGTGTCCTGTGTTGCTATATCTACTAGAATATTGTTGTCCAAGACCATTGATCCTCCCTCCTCACAAGCATATCTGTGTAAAGGTTGGAGGACTTTTGATGCCCTTAATTTATTTTTATGAACTCTATTCCTAAACAATTGAAAAGTTTTCAAATTTTTCCTTGGCTTCCTTTTGTTACCAATTCTCACCATCAACATGACTGAAGTGGTCCATATTATCCATGCAGAGCCTGAATAATTCGTTATTTTAGCTTTGTCTGTTTGTGGGGCTCCCAGCAGTGGGACTAGGATCCATCCCTGGTAAATGAGCTGGCTTCTTGAAGCCCATTCACTATGGGATGACTTGCTCAGCCTTGATGCAGAGGGGAGAAGCTTGTTTTTGCCTCAACTTGACTTGACAGGCTTTGTTGACTCCCTATGGGAGGCCTTACCCTTTCTGAGGAGTGGATTGGATTGGGGGGGTGGCTGGGAAGCAGGAAGAGGCGAGGGAGGGGGAACTGCAGTTGGTATGTAAAATGAATTAAAAAATGAACTGTTCTGAATTCTTAGTCTCATCCTCTATAAAATCTCTTGACATAGAAATGATGCAGGCAAGTTCTTGTAAGGAGACTAAGCATGAGAACAGAGAGAAGTGATGCAGAGTCTCTGAGAATTGAGGCTTACAGGAAGATTCTTATGTTAGCTATACTCATGACCTCAGAAGGGGTTTGGGAAGCCCAGCCTCACTCCAGCTTCCTTTATAGTAATGTGATTCCTTCTTCTCCCATGTATTCCCACCATTATGATGTGTATGACAAGATCCTCATCATTGTTGGCATTATACCCTTGGACAGCCAGAATTGTTACATCCATAATTTTTTATCTTGATAAAATTATATTATTTCAAACATTTTGTTTTGAAAATTGAAAACTTATCAAAATGAACAATTGTGCCAAAAAAAGTTGTTCATGACTATGACTAGACCTGTGGATGTGGAGGCAGCTTTGTTATTGGATAATAGGCTGTTAGAGAGTTTGAAGGAGCATACTAGAAAAATCTATGACTGTAATTAGTGCTGTAGACCATCCCATGAGGTATTGAAAGACAGGGATATTAGATAACTAATCTCAGATGGCAATAAGGAACCTGTCAGAAATTAGAGGAAAGCACTCCATCCCAGAAGCAAAGGGAGGATAAATAGACTGTGCTTCCTAGCAACTGTACGGTTATAGTGTAAAAGATATTGGAGGGATCAGAGGGACTGCCACCACCATCTTAGGAAAAAATATACAACCACTGAGCTATGTAGACCATGTTTGAGATTTAGATAATTAAAATCTAATCACCATAGAAGACTGGACTACGGTATTAGGTAATGTACATGAACCTCACCCACTGAACTTAGCAAAGAAGAAAACAAATAACATCAAATCCCATAGCATTTCTGTGGATTTTCACCTTTGCACTCATGCAGAAGGAACAGAGAAGAGCCATGACATGATCAGCAATGTTTAACAATATAAAAAATTTAAAACTCTACACAGCATCATAAAAGACACTGAAAACTTAACATGTAAAATATAAATGAAGGGATGAACCGTAGAGATGTTTCGATGGATGAGAGCACTTGCTTTTCTTTCATAGGACCAGGATTCAGTCTCAGCACCCACATGGTGGCTCACAATACCCCATAACTTCATATTCAAGAGATCTCTTCTGGCCTCTACAGGCACCATGGACATGTGCTGTGCTCTTACAGACGTAAAAACAAAACACTCAGACACATAAAATAAAAATATCTTTAAAATGCATATGAAGGGAGAAAGCCCTTTACAATAGCACCAAAATAAGAAAAGAAATAAGAAAAGATTTAAAATTAAATAAAAATAATTTAGAAGTAGTGATAAGATACTATTGAGAGCCATGGAATAAAATTAGAATAAGAAAGAATACATATAATATTGATAGAAATATCAAGATGAAAATTTTCCAGTTTTGTCTATGATAGCCTATAAATTTCATGTGAATAGAACATCTCTTATTTTTAATTTAAATTTTCTTTCATTTTACATACCAACCACAGTTTCCCCTCCCTTCCCTCCTCTCCTTCCTCTCCCCTCCCCTCAATCCACCCCTATCCACTCCTCAGAAAGAGAAAGGCTTCCTATGGGGATTCAACAAAACCTGGCACCTTCAGTTGAGGCAGGATCAAGCCCCCTAATCCCCACCACCACCACCAGCATAAGGCTAAGCAAGGCATTTCACCATATGGGGGTAGACTTCAAAAAGCCAGTTCATGCACTAGGGATGGAACCCCACTTCCAGGGGTTCCACAAACAGACCAGGCTACAAACTGTCACCCACATGCAAAGGGCCTGGTTCAGTCCCATGCAGGCTCCCCAGTTGTCAGTCTAGATTCCATAAGCTCCCACAAGTTCAGGTCAACCGTCTCTGTAACTTTCCCCATCATGATCTTGACACCCCCTTGCTCATATAATCCCTCCCCCCCAATTTTATCTATGCTGTTCTATAAATTTCATGTGGATAGAACATCTCTTAAACCAGAGAAATAATTCTAAAATTATGTGGAAAAATAAATAGAAAAATTATTTGAAAGGATAATAATGAGGGATAATTAGCACTATGTTATATATAAAATAACTAGAAACTTTCATATTAAAAAAGAATATACAGGTTATAAAATTCATAAATAAAAATGATGGATAAATTTTTAAAATAGTATTTACATAGAAGAGTCATAAT